AATAAGAACACGCACCATAAGATCTACCCTCCCAGCAAATATTCACATAGACAACACAGTATTGTTAAGTATAGGCTCTATTTTATACAGGTCCTTAGGACTTTATTCATCTTGTGTAACTGGAACTTGTACCTTTGGACCAATATCTCCTTATTCTTATTTTTAAATCGCTGAATAACATCTGTATCCAAGAGTGCAGAGTGAGGATAATATGAAATCCAAAGAACCAGCTTGCCTGACAGAGTAAAGGTCCAATGGTCAGCACTAGCTTTCCCCCAGGCTTCTCGGCTCCTCTTGCTTTCTGGACAAGCTGTGACGCTTGGGACTGGGGCAGAATCGTGTGCTGAGGCCAATTGCAACTCTGCTTTTCACTTGGGGGCAGGTGCAAGCTGGACCCCTTTAGGGTTCTCCTCTCAGCCTCTTTCCTCATCTCCTAACTTTTAAATTTCTCCCTCGCTTTATCTTCCCTGCTCCACAAAGTCCATAAAGGCTGGAGCTGGGCGGGTGGGAACAGGGAACAAGGTGTTTGTGGTCCCTTCCCTACCCAGGCTCCAGGGTGTCCAGGTCACTGTATTGGGGTTCCCTCAGTATATCTCTACAGGTGAGAGACCTCAGGAATGGTGATAGGTCCTTTCTCTCGCTAGGGCCGTCTCCCTCAGGCTGCCCCTAGAAGGCCACCTGGGTCTCTCTTTCTGGTCCCAAATGCCAACGCCAGGTGAAAATGCTAGGATAAGTGAAAGAGCTGAGGGAAGCCTTCCTTGAGGTCGGCTGGGAGGAGCTCTGCGCAGTCTTCCTTCCTCCTTGACTGTGTCTAGTGTGTAATCTCGTGGCCGGTAGGTGGCGCATTACCACTTACTGGGAGTGGAGACACCGAGCGCAGACTTGAGGGCATTCATGAGAGGGTATTTGCCTTCTCCACAGAAAGTGCCTGTGAAGTCGTCCAAGTCAATGGCCCAGACCATGGCGCCTCCAAAGCTGTTCTTCAGCAGCCACTCGGCCTATGGGAGACAGTGAGGGGGACCGTGGGGTGTCCTTGCACGAATACAGGGAGCGACTCCAGCAGCATGGCAGCAAGGGTAATGATCAGTCATGGCGAGGAGGGAATGGGGGAGTCGCTTTTCTGCAGCGACTTTGGGAGACTCATGGACATATCTGTATAGAACGAAAGATTTTAAGGCTACTAAGTCAGGAAGAATGAGTCTTGAGCCCAAGCAGCCCTTTCCCCTGTCCTCTGTAATCACCAACCCCCTTCTAAGAAGGTTTGTCTGAGTTGGAGTTTGGGTGGGCTGTGGTGTCATAAGAGATACAGGACCCTGCACATAGCAAGTGTCTGGGCAAAGAAGGCTCCAGAGACAGGGAGGTCTAGGGTTAAGGGCCCCAGGCCTGAGCAGGTAAGGGTCAGTGGGCAGAAGCCTAATAACCCAGAGGATCTCTCGCCTCCTGATTTTGGTTCAGCCTGTATATATATTTGCCGTGAGCAGGAAAGGAGCAAAGGAGGGAAAGAAACTCTGATCTACACCTTCATCCTTGGAATAGGAAAGAATGCCTGCCTCAGAGAGCTGGAGCAGGCCCAGGAAAGAGCAGGGGACGGGACCAAAAGGGACTCTCCAGGGGTGAGTGTATGGGAAGGTGCAGAAGCTGAGGGAAGGAAGGAAGCCAACTGCAAGTGCACGGGAGCAGAGGGGCTGCCCCAACTGCTGGGCTCTGCAGCTGGGCCACTGGCTCACCCTGAGACCTTTGGGCCTCCCTGAGTCTTGCCTTACCTTACCTCACCTCTCTTAGATGTCTTCTGGGATTGTAATTCAAATGCACTTGGAGGGCAGGTTCCCTACCTCTTTCAAATGTGCAGAAGGAAGGGTGTGGAGGGCCTTACCTTGAGGGTGAAGCTCTTGGGATTGGCATATCCAATCCACTGGTTCCCCTTGTAGGCATAGGGCACCTCCTGGGGAGCGTTCCATACCTCCGTGGCTCCTTTCAGGAAGGAGCAGACCTGGGGGTGAGGATGGGGGTGCAGGAGTACAGTCATGACTCAGATGATCCCCCGCTCTGCTCAGCCCACCTCCCCTTCCTCCCTGCTTTCTTTTCTGGGATGCACTCCCCACCTCATCCCTTTTTGATGTAAATAAGAGCTCATGGTTCCAGTTTCGCCCCAGCTCCCCTGTTTTGCTTCCAGTGCAGTTGCACAGTGGAGAGGGCACTAGCTGGATAGATGAGGCATGAATTCCTGCCCTGTGTCTGCCAGTACCCATATTCAAGACAATGGACACAAAAGCTTCTTTGTGCTTGTGCCCTAGTTTCCCTTGGAAACAAATTTGCCTGTTCTTATCTGAAAACATTTTTGCCATAAAAGAGACAACAAGGGGATGCTGGAGCATAGTGGTTAGGGTCTGAGAGTCTGGAGCTCATTAACTAGGTTTGAAGCCAAGCTCTGCCGCTTACTAGTTCTGCAACTTTGAGCAAATTTCTTAACCTCTGTGCCTCAATGTCCTCTTGTGTAAGAGGATAAAACCAGCACCTCATTTAAAAACCACTTAGAACAGAGCCTGGCTGTCCATTTGTACTCAGTAAATGTCAACTACTAGTAGTAATAAAGAAGCCCATTTACTTTAAAAGGTTAAATTTAAGATGTTTCATCAGTCGTTCACTCTACCCTTCTCCCCCTACTACATACACTCAGAGTAGTCAACATGGATACCCTGTATTAGAAGTCAGCGTATATTTTCTCTCTCTATGGAAATATCTTCAATCCTTTAGAACAGAAAGAGTGGATCTCTCAGGTAGACCAGGCCCTCTGGGTCGTTACCTCAAAGTAGGCAAGAGTCCCAGCTTCCTGAGTATAGGGCCCGGCAGTCCCAGGGCCAGAGGTGGGGGCATCCAGGCCATGGTTGGCAGGGTTAGTGAGAGTGAAGGTCCGGGCGTAAGCCCCAAAGCCCACCATCAGCTTCTCGGCAGGGGCACCTTGGTTCTTCCAGTAGTTCATCGCATAATCCTGGAGGCAAGGTAAAGAAGTTATTATTAAGAAGCAGCTGAGCATATGCTCAGAGGCTTGTGGACTAGCCTATATTTTCTACCCAATTCCCTGGCCACTTCACATATAGCATGCAGTCAAGCCAACATTGTAGGAAGAAAAGGAATATTTTCCCTTCTAGAAGAACTGGGTGATAGAGGTACCTCAGTCAAGAGGTATGTTAGTTAGGTAGTTAAGTTGGCCCAGTGTCAAATAGGAATGAAAGGTTCTCTTACCCTTCTTTCTCTCATACTGGACTGGGTATCTGGGCATAACTGGGATTAAGTCATGCACCCTCTTGTCCCTAACTGGCATAATACAGCAGCTCAGAATTGCTCAAGCATGGGGTATGCACCTAGGACACTTTCCCATGCCCATTTTTAAATTCCTGGTTGAACTCTCCACTGAAATCACATCTAGCCAATTTACCCACCTACAAGTCATTGCATAGACTTATTACACCTGCCAAGAGCATACAAGTTAGGGAGATAAACTTCATGGCATAGGGAGAGGGTGGAAGGGAGGTGAGGGAGAGTGGGAGCAAGATGGATCATGAAATGTGCTCCTACCATCAATGGAAATGACATTTAAAATTTTTTTCCAATGTTTGGGATTACCCCAAACCACTATTCTGCCTTCTTTGGTGTGAAAGGTAAAGGGGTACAACTAATCATAGGGACAAGCAAGCAGGGAACACGAGCTGGGTTAGAAAAGATTGTCGACTTCATCCTGTCCACCAAGGTTCTTTGCTTCCTTTTCAGTCCTTGGCCAGAGATCCTATGGCATGCTTCAACGATATCTGGTAGGACTGGCTGTCCTGAATCCACGTCATCACTCACCACATTAAAGAATTTGTAGTCTCCCTGGTCACTGGGTCCTGCAAACAGGGGGCTGTTCTCTCCTGTGAAGCCCTCCCAGGAGCCCCTTAGGTCATAGGTCATCACATTGATGAGGTCCATGTACCTTGGGTGGTTGGGTGCAAAAGAAGAGAAATGGTCCAAGAGAATCACATTCTTCATCACATTCCCCTTCAAGCTCCTAGTCCCCACCAAATGTGTTGTTTGTAATTATAAGGGAATATGTTTTATTATTCTTTACTCCATTCTTCTTCACTTTTATCTCAAGAACACCTGATATGTAAAAGGCACATAATCCATAATCAATATCTGGCTGCACTCAGACCTTCAGGACTTATGGAAGTTTGAAACTCAGCTAACCTTCTCCAACTAGCCTTTTATCATTGAGAAACTAGGGGATAGACTTAGAAACAAGACCAGGACTCATGCTGGCTTCCCATATCTCTCCCTCGGGAGTTAGGATCATCTCATTCCTTTGGGATACAACCCTCTTGATCCAGGGTACATGAGCATTGGCCAATCTATAGGGGAGGTCTTAGGATTGCTTAGCTCTGAACTGGGCCCCTGGGCTTGGGGTTGACTTACTTAGACATCTCGGGGATCTGGTAGGCAGTCTCAATGGTACCTTTGCCTGCCGACACAGCAGCAGAAATCAGCAACCTAGGCTTGTTGCTCTGGGTCGCCTCTTGCTCAAAAGCCTCATACATTTCCTGTGGAACAGAGGACAGGAAGGCCCAATGAGCAAGTCACAATTCTTAGGAGGAAAGCTGTAAAATGTTCCATTTAGACTCCTTTGGTCTGAAAACTGTTGTTGGTCTCTGAAGACAACAGTGAGTTGTCTCCCAAAAACTTGCGAATGAGAGAAATTTGATGACTTTCTGGGAGTTAAACTTTAAAGTGAACAAATAGTGTCCAGAGCAGAAAAATTAAAGAAAAGTAAGTTTATATAGAGACAAAGATGGCTCCTATCTCTGGAAACTATATATGATTAAATTGAACAATCAGAAAAATCAGTCATGGAAGAAGAGGAAATAAGAGTATCAAAGCAAATATTGGTGCTCAATGAAGCTGTGACCAGGGGAGAGGCCACTTTGACCCAATAATTTTATGTCTGGCCCTGGTGGCAGGAGTGTCCCTTTCCTGGAGGAATCTGCATCCAACTATCAGAGCACAGGGCCATTGAACATTTTAGTCTGTAACTAGCTCACCTTGGCCTACGTGCTGCCCACCAATGACCTGCCTGAGGACTATCTGACTTCCCACAGCTGATCCTAGAGATAGCACATGAATGTTTCAGTCCCCTTGGCAGTTAGACTTCTCGCTATACATCTATTCACTTTCATTATGCTGCCTTCCACCAGTTTCTCTAATTTGGCCACATGAGTTTCCCCTGAAAGGAAGATCTGATCTTGTATTAAAGAAATCAGGTTTTGAGCGAGTAAGGCTGAGATCCACACTCTTGGCTGGGGTGTTCAGCCTCTCTCAGAACCTTCTCCTCAGACAATTGTGGGCCAGATCCTACATTCTTTGGACATGAGGAGAGTGAGTCACCTTCAACAGGACAGTGAAGAGCTGCTGGGTGTCAGCTGGGCTGCCACGGTTGCCGGGATACTCCCAATCAATGTCCAGCCCATCGAAGCTGTACTTCCTCAGAAACTGAATGGCTGACTGGATGAAGGTCTGGCGGTTCTCAGCAGTGGCCACCATGTTGGAGAATCTGGAGTCAACAAGTCATTGGCAGTGATGGGCTTTGACATGGATTGTCTCAAGAGCAGGATTCTTCCATGGGACACTTAGCGGTGGGGGTGGGAGGACACAGGAGGAAACAATAGTGGTCTAAGCTCCTGGATCCTCTGTCTTGTCACTTAGCCTCCTGACTATTTGTCTGGATACATATTCAGTTATTCAGTCATTCATTCAGCATTTAGTAGTGCTGGGGTACAGTGGTGAATAAAGCAGAGTTTTTGCCTTGGAGAATCTCATAGAGAAGAAGGCATAGATAAGTAAAGAGGCAGTTAAAATACAGCATGATAAGAGCTATGGTTGAAGAAGGACAGGCTACAAGGAGAGCTCAGACCAGGTTTCTGGCATGTCTAAACTGGATCTGAGGCCACAGAAACTCAGAGGTCCTGGAGCTTGGAAGAGACTGAATAATCTAGGAGTGATTCAGCCATAAATACAAGGTCTTACCCCTGGGTTCCAAAGTTCCAGCCACCAACAGACAGCAGGGTTTTCAGTTCTGTGTTGCTGGAGATAGAAAGATATCAATGTAAAAGAAATTCCACTGGCAAGGAGATGTCATCTGCTAGTCAATCCCCCCATCTTCACGTCCCAACCTGAGCAGCCCCAGAGGTGCTCCATCACCAGTCTAGGACCTCCTGTTAGGAGCAGAGCTCTCTGTAGGAGAAGGTACTCTCGCCATGGGTACCTCAAAGGCACAGGAGAAATACTCATTGAACAGGTTGTTCTCACTCCCACCTTTGCCAGTGGGCTAATGGATCCTGGTACAGCAGGGAGCTTCAGGGGAAGAAGGCAAGACATCTTGGGAAGGATGGAACACCCTAAAAGCAGTTCCTTAGCACAGATAGTAGGTGGACTGGAGCTTCTTGGATACACAAGGCCAAAAAGATATGTCTAAATCTCTTCAAGTAAAGGGCAAGGAATAGGTGTGGTGGAGGTGTCTACCATTCCCTGAGTGCCTACCAAATTCCAGGCACTTCACAAGGCTCCTGTCGTCACCCTTACAGTCCCACAGGGCAGTAACTATTAGCCTTATTTGACCTTTAGATGATACTCAGAGAGGTTAAACAATTTGTTCAAGATTACCCATTAAGTAAAGTGGCAGAGCCAGGATTCAAACCTAACACCTCTATCTCATGGTATCTCCCAGCAGACACCCAGGTCTCATGAGCTTGACCTTCAAACCTACCCATTAGGTTCCCAACTGGACCAAAGTACCAATTAATCTATCTGATAAACTGATCAGGCATTCCTGGATTCTGTCACTTATTAGTTCTGTGGAAAATTTTTAATCACTCTGTTTTTCAGTTTCCTTAACTTTAAAATGTCATTTAAAACTTTAATATACTTACTTCATAGTGTTTGTTGTCAAGGTTACATAAATAATAAATGAAAAGCACCTAGAACAGTGCCTGGCATAGTTGTCACCCAGTAAATATGCTAAGCATTGGGCTGGCCGAGTGGCACGTTGGTTAAGAGCTGGCTTGGGACACCAGCTCTGAGCAGCAGGGCCCCGGTTCGGATCCCACATAAGGGCCAGTGACACTG